CCAGGTGCAACGCTGTGGAAGCTACGCAACAAGTTCGGCCAGCAAAACGTAAAATCCGCGCGTTTCGCGTCGCTTGCGTTAAATATCATTAGTGCCGGTGCAGGCTAGCGTTTCTTTGTGCTCCTGTTTGGCGTGACTAGCGAACAGAATTAGTAGCAGTAGTATAGAAAACTTTATTATGTACACAATCCAAACAGGCTTGAACTCCAGTGCCCCGAGGAATATACAGGGTGAAGAGCGAAGTCTGTCCGGCAGGGTGTTGCCCCTATTCCAGGGCCCCACTGGCGCGACCCATCCGTTCAGCTCTGTGGATCAATCACAGCTGATCCATTAGGGCTGGGCTAGACAGCATCGAGGTGCATCATGGTGCTCACTGCAGTTACGCGCCTTTGAACATGGTGCAGTTGCTGTGCTAATTAAGTTATACGCACTATGGCTTTGTGAATATCATCCCCTGCATGATCCAGAGCTTGTGAATGTGGTAATGCTCAAAATGCATATTTTAGACAGCAGTGTTGGAAGGAGCGGCCGCTTCCAAGTCAAAGCGACCTGATTGGCAAGCCAGGACCAACAGTGGCAGGCAGCCCCCAACCCCACCATTTTTTCCCTAATGTGTTGATTTGTAGCTTGTACCGTTTTAGGAAGCATAGTGGAAAAGGCATTGGTTCCCGAGTTCCTAGACTGCAGCCATGGTAAGAAGGAACTAGGCAGCTTGTACCGTTTTAGGAAGCATAGTGGAAAAGGCATTGATTCCCGAGTTTCTAGACTGCAGCCATGGTAAGAAGGAACTAGGCAATGTCACTCTACGTGAGCAGTAGAAATGATATCTTGTCTGTTTTCCATGTAAATATTAGAAGCTTGAAGAACAAACAACTAGAAATTGATTCATTTTTTGAGTCGCTTGACTACAATTTTAACTTCATGGCATTTATGGTAACTTGGTTTCAGAATGATCAGGATGTCGTACACTTTTCTGGTTATAGATCAGAAGGTGTTTATAGATTCGATCGTAGAGGTGGAGGAACCTCTTTGTATATTAAGGATGGTATTACTTATGGTGTGTTGGGTGAATTTTCGGGTGTTACGGCAAATTATGAATCCGTTGTTGTAAAGAGCGTGGGAACAGGTATTGCTTCGGTTTACCGCCCCGCTTTATATGATACTAAACCTTTTTTTGAATATATTACTTCCCTGTTTGAATATGTGTCTACAGAAATGTTGCCTATTGTTCTTGTTGGTGATCTTAACATTGACATATTGAGAAACACTCCACAATCGGATCAATTATTAAACTTGATCGAATCATACTCCTGTGAAAATGTAATAAATTCGCCAACTAGAATTACAGGATTAAGTGAAACCCTGATTGATTTGTGTGTTACTAACTTTGATTAAAGTGATGTTATTTCTGGAATTTTCGCGAGCGATTTGAGTGACCACCTACCCAATTTCTGCATCTTTCCTGCTAGAAAAAACAGAATAAGCCGAACTCGTACTGCTCCTATTCCTTATCGTAGGTTTGATGAAACATCTCTCTCTGCTTTTCGCTCAATGATCGAGCTTGTCGACTGGTCAAATGTTCTTGAGGAAGAAAACCCAAGCATCTCATACGATATATTTCTGAAAGAGGTCAAGCGTTGCTACGAGGAAGCTTTCCCTAAACGTTATGCGAAAATACACAAAAAAAGTAGAAAACCACGGGTAACAAGAGCTACATCAGAGAATTAAATCACGAGATATGTACCATCAATTTATTAATCTAAAAGACTTAGCGCTTCTTAATGAGTGTAAGAAAGTGAGAAACAAGTTAAACTCTGACCTCAAGAAAGCTAGGGCTGAATGTTATAAAAACAGATTCCTTGCAGTTTCCGATGAACCTAAAAAAGTTTGGAACACATTAAGTTCTCTAATTGGTCAAGAACAAAATATCATTCCTAGCACGTTGGTGACTGATGGTGTCTCATACAGTAAAGAGGCTTTGTCAAATAAATTCAATTCATACTTCTTAACCTCTGGTACATATTTGTCATCCTCCAAGCAATTAAACATTGAAAAATACATAGCTTTCTCTTGTATGAATTCTCTATTTCTGTCGCCATGTAGTGAATTGGAGATCTATTCTTTTCTTACGGGGCTAAATAAAAATACTGCGGCAGGTAACGATGAAATCAAAGCCATTCCAATAACATTTGTTGCAAATTTACTTGCGGCACCTTTACAACATATCTGCAAAAAAGCGCTAGTTACAGGCATTTTCCCAGCTGCTATGAAAACTGCGAGGGTAACAATTTTACATAAAGGATGCCCTATCAATGATTTCAATAATTACTGGCGGATATCGGTGTAACCCTTATTCTTGAAAGTGTTAGAAAACGTAATAAAAACAAAGATAACCAAGTTATTCGATGATCATGAACTACTTGTCTATGAGCAATTCGGCTTTCAAGCAAAAAAATCCATAGAAATGGCATTACTTGGCATTAAAGAACAAATCGCTCAAAATATATACAGCAAGCAGTTCACCCTAGGAATATTTTTAGACTTTCGAAAAGCATGCGATTCGGTTAAGCATGATATTCTGTTCAAAAAATTACCGTATTATGGCATTCGAGGTATTGCTCTAGAGTTAGTACGTAGCTATTTAACAGACAGGTTACAATACACATGTGTTCACGGGTATAATTCCCAGTTAAAACCAGTAACACTAGGTGTGCCTTAGGGTTCTATACTCGGACCTCTATTTTTTATTTATATAAACGATCTCGTTCATGTGCCAGTGGCTTCTTCTACAGTTATGTATGCAGATGATACAAGTTTGTTCTTCTCTGGCAGCTGTCTAAAAGATCTTGAGAAGAAAGCGAATGAATGCATGGTATCACTCTCTTACTGGCTAGATTCAAACCAACTACCGTTCAATGTTTTACTAACTAAATTTATTTTATTTAGGAGCAAAAACAAGTGTGAAGATTACAAGATTTCTCTCTGGTTTAAAAATAATGAAATCCAATGAGTCTCTTTGTTTAAATTTTTAGGTGTACTTTTTAATGGGCACCTGAGTTGGACACCTCAAATAAATAAAGTACATGCCAATATGTCTCGATCGATTTCGGTTTTCAATAAATTTACGTCCCTAATTCCAAACTGGTTAAAGCTCCAGCTATATTATTCTTTGGTTCATTCCCATCTACATTACTGTCTTTTAATTTGGGGCACAACTTCAAAAACCAATCTTGACAGGCTGTTAGTTTTACAAAAAAAGGTCTGTACGCTACATAGAAAATCTGCAACCTAGAGAACATACTCCTCCATTTTTTGGCAAGCTTCAAATACTTACTGTCTACCAATTATACAATCTTAAACTCAGCTTATATGTCATTAATGAAATAGGAAACACCGTTGGCACTTATATAGAGCATTGCTACACAAGCGATACTCCCTATGAACTACGCTTTGATCGTTTTCGATTGCCTTTTTTCAGAACAACATATGGTAAGCAAACTTTATCATATCAAATACCTTATCTACTCCACGAAAATAGCTATGTCCGTGAACTTTTGAAAGAACATAACACTGAAAACAGTGTGAAGAAAAAAGTTAAGATGTACTTCCTTTCTTGTAAGGAGCCTCAATTGTATTATTTATTATAGATATTTCTTTTGTGTCGTTCGTGCTTTTGCATATTAGATGAAAATTGCTCGATTTCTTTCTTTTCAAATGTATTTTTCTATGGTACTTAGTAATTCTGTCATAAATTTCTCCATGTTGCATTTTATATATATATATTTTAAATTGGTACTGCTAATTGGTGATGACTGTAATAGGTTATTTTAAAACGTATGTGTTGACATCTGTTATACTTGTTGAATTTGAATTTTGTGTCCCCTCATTCAAAAGCAGAATGAAATTTGTATCCTTTGTTCCACTTCACCTGAGCAAATAAATGGGTGGAGGGACCTTAGTCAGGCAGAGGTAATCTGCCTTTAGTCCCTTCAACCTAGATAATCATTGCTTTTGCCTGAATAAACAGTGAATGAATGAATGAATTATGCTGTCAAGTAGGATGCCATGTTGGATAGCGTCTGCAATTGGACAATTCAGCAAATGCAATGACGTTTATTTAGCAAGACAAGATTTTATGTTTCAGTGTTGATGCATGCAATACTGTTGATCGGCTCAGTAGAGTTTCGTTGTTAGATGAGGCAATTGACAAAATTGACAGCAAGGTCGTCCTTGGTTTACAAGTTTTGTATATAAGCAAAGAAAAAGTCGAAAGTTTTTGAGGGGAGACTTTGAACCGCACAAGCCCTCAAATGTGGATTTGTGTTGAACTGTATGAACAACTTAGTACGCTCAGTGGTGCGTGACTACTTCTTTTTGTTTATTTTCACGTTCTGACGGAGGTGCAATCTTCACCAGTGAATGAGAAGAACTGCCAGCTTATTTACAAATGCAAATCGGAGTAACATTAAATTCGCAGCCAGCCTTCTTTAGTGTACATAAGAGAAAAAAACACAACCTTGAGAAATAAAAAAACAATTTGGCACCCCTGAAGTTCCTGCACGTTATGCTAAATCATTTACTTCTTGATGTTAATGAAACAATGCTGTCTTGTGGAGGACAAAATCTATGAGTGAAACCGACTCACATCTGATGTGGAGTGGACATCTTAGCATATAGTGGAGCTACTACTTCCAATGTTTCACCCACGTCTAAGCTCTCCAACACGCCTGCGTACAGATGTTAGCCTGTACGCAGGCCTGTACGAATGGTTAACATGCATTGCATTACAAACTTCTTGGAAACTTATGGATGCAGGAGAGCCTGTAAGTGTGGATTGCCGAATGAACGACTTACTTGCCTGTGGATTTACGTTGTGCTGACAAGATGGCTCATCGACCAAAGCTCTCTGGGGAGAACACCTTCATTCAAGCCATCTGGAAACTGCAATTATTGAATTGGAATAGAAACAAGGCAAGCTTACCAATCACTCTGGAAAACAAATTCTTCTAATATGTTTTATTTTCATTCAGTATATTATTCTGTGTGACCACTCCTATACAGACATAATGCATGATGATGAATGTCATTACAAATGGACATGATTATACTATTAAATTAGGTGAATGAGGCCACAGTACAATGACATAAAAATATTTCAGGATGGACGATTTCTCAAGGCAAAAAAAATTAATACCGTAAAAGTACTGTTCATCAGAGTTGTAAAATTAACACAATCATTGTTGTGGCTCAATGGTAGTAAAACAAAGAACAATGCAGTTGATTACAAAATCAATTTCAGACTAGTAGGTGCAGTGCATTAGAAAGATGGCCTCAATTTAACCAGGATACTTCGCGACTTTCATATCTACCGGCCTAAAAGAGATGCCTTTTTTGTTTTCATTCACTGGCCGATTTGCCCATGAACTTGGGGACTTCGGTGCTCTTTTCTTATCAACAGCAGGTTCCGTATTGGGGCTGCAATTGTGGTTCCACCCGGGAACTGGCTTGCTTTCAGTGAGCACACCCTCCTGGCGTTCCACATGAGGAGGTGATGAAGACTGGCTGCTCACTTGGACCAACGACTTATGCTGCATGGTGTCAAATCTGTGGCCGCTTCCATAACAATGCTCCACTAGTGTCTCCGGCAAAGCTAGCACGGTGTTATCACTAGTATGCTTAGCTGTTAGAGCTTCAACTTGGTGCCCGCTATCATGGTTGCCAGAAGGAATGTTGCATGGAGGCCCGTTGCCATTAAAGTGCTGGGGCAGCATCTTCCGAAAAGCATCCACGCCATTACGCTCGAAGCTGCAGAAACTGGTGTCCGGATGTGGCTCGTCCGTAGCCTCTCTATCTGCCTTTGAGTCTTCCTTGTTTCCATTGGCTACAGGGCAGTGATCTTGGAGAGCCAAGGAGGCAGGCTCTTCTTGCGTAGATTCAGTAGGCTCGGAACTGGCATTTAGCTTTTCGGATTCACCCACATTGCTCTTTTGAGCCGAGTCCATTGCCGGATCTGCAAAAAGACACAGTGAGACCACAGTCAGCAGGCACTTCTTGCTGATGCAACATGCTATCTCCACTACACCGCTACAACGTTTCCGCTACACCAGTGTGCTGGTCATAATCCAAGACTTTAACGTCATAACTACAATACATAATTACCTTCATGTTTATGTCACCTGTTTGAGTTGGCTAGCAATGTGAAGGAAAAAAAAAACCCTTGTATGCGCACCTTAGCATCTCAAGGGACACCTGGAAAAAGTTGGTTTAAGTGAACATTCACTGAAGTAGCTATGCTGCAACTTATCAGGAGCTAAAGAAAACATTGCTTGTTTAAATAACATCCGAACGCTTGTATTTGGAATGCTGCTTATTTGAATGTTGCAAATTTCTGCTTATTTAAAATGTTCTGAAAAATGTATCTTTTGCAGCATTTGTACACTAATGACTGCAGTAGTCGTGAATCAACCTTCTCCAGCATAAACCTTCTCATAAACCTGCTCCCTCTCATAAACTTTCTCCAGCACAACACTCTGCTGGGCATTGAAGGCCTTCACTTTTCCCAAGTACACGAAGCACTGTCTGTGCCCTGTCCTTCCGACAACTTCTGATCAATATGTCGTGAGAGGCAATGGATGGTGTCACACAATGAGGTCATACGACTCAAATGTCCTCTACACTATTATCATTACACTGAAATGTGTTAGCACTGGGCCCAGTAACATTTCGTTCAAGTGGTATTTTACTGTATATTTACTGTAGCCACCTCATTTGGATGACTTGCTGGTAGGTCATGGATAAAAGTTAGTTTTACAATCACTAGCATAGATGACCTTGATGCAGTGTTGTACAAAAATAGTAGTTCCTCTTTAGAGGAACAGAAGATGCCACCATTCAATTTACGATAGGTGGAGCTGTAACGGTAACTCGTTACGTTTACTGGGAAACGGTAGCGGGAACGGCGTTCCTTTTGTAAACGTTACACGGCATTCAATAAGCACACGCACAAAGCTCATCATCCACAACAGTGCGAATAGACAAACGATCGGGAGCTAAAATGTATCACTCGCCTATCACGTGACTATGATGCATCTTGGCTTTCACATTAAGGTGGCAGCGCAGGGTCACTTTAGCACCAGGTAGGGAAAGAAGCTGATTGACCACTTGTGAGAAAAACGTTTGATTTTCTACAGTGCAGCTGTTATGCTCAAGGTTTGCCGCCAGTCTTAGAAAAAAAAAAAGACCATCATCATGAACCTGAGCGTGCTCTTTTTGTCCTTGTTTTTTTCTGTTTCGCTCCAAGAACACGTGCCCCGGTTTGTCCGGCGCGTCATGGGGAGAGAACGAGCACAAAGACAACGAAAGAAAGAGACACAGAAGTGACAGAGAAAAATTCTAGGTGAGAAGAAAAATTTCAGAACGCTAGATTCTAGACCATCTATCCACGATCCGAAGGTGAGCATCCTAACCACTCCGCTTTCCACTTATTTTTTCTTTACCATAATTATTCAACATAAACATGACAGTTTACAACAATTAGATCGAAAACTAATGTGTCCATTGTGCTCGTATCACGACTCAACGACGAATGCATAGCAGTAAAGAATTTGCATTCATAGAGCGAATACATTAGGTAACGGCCATTACCAGTGACACACTACAACAGCGGTGAAGATAAACACCTCACCAATGCAAATAACATTCAGGCTGACTTTCTATTTGCTAAAATACATCTTTTAGCTGAGTGACCATCCCAATGAAGTGAGATGTTAAGGAAATTATTGGCTTTTCATTTCTCTGCAACATGAGCATGTGCTAAAAGAGCGTAGCATTACCTACTATAGTATAGTTGAGCAATCGGATGGGAATGGGAAATGAGGGTGAGGAAGATAGAACAAGGATAAAAAGACAGAGAGGAAGAGAGAAAGGAAGACCTATAAAGAAAGAGAAGAGAATGATTGATTGATATGTGGGGTTCAACATTCCAAAACCATCATATGATGAGAGATGTCATAGTGGAGGGCTCCGGAAATTTTGACCACCTTGGGTTCTTCAACATGCACCCAAATCTGAGCACACGGGTCTACGACATTTCCGCAAAAAGAGAAGAGAAAATTCTAGTAAAAGAATAATGATAATTGTTGAGGTTTAACGTCCCAAAACCACCATATGAGAATGAACAAAGCCCTGGGGGAGAGCTACAGAAATTTCGAGCACCTGGGGTTCTTTAACGTGCACCCAAATCTAATAAGCTCACAGGCCTACAAGATTTTCGCCTCCATCAAAAATGCAGCCGCCACAGCTGGGATTCTTTCCCCCAACCTGCGGGTCAGGAGCCGCGTACCTTAGCCACTAGACCACAGAGGTGGGTCCCGCACAAAAAAGTTAATGCGGGCATTTCTCCTCTCGCTGCTAAGCATTACCACGCATCAAGTCAGTGTGTTTAGAATAGCACTTACATCGTGAAACACAAGGAATGAAAATTTGCTACTTTGCTGAACGGTACTCGTATTATTTTTTCATGTGTTGCGATTATTCAACATGCTTTTGAACCATGATGCCACACTTTTCTAAACAATCATCCATACATGATAACGTTATTTATTCGCTATTCATGAGGAACGCATGACACCATTCCCCGAATAAAAACACCACTGAGGGGAAAAAAAACACCTTCCATTGACTTTTTGCCGTTAGGAAGCACGTAACGTGTACTCTCCCCTGCCAACTTTTAGCAGGTGTAATAAGAGCTGTAAAAGAAGAGTAGGAAAGGACGATAGGAGAGGGTGGTGAACGGTTAAATCGAGCGTACTAACTGGCATTGAAAAAAGTACAGGAAGCACTGGCTTGGCAATTTTAGTGCCACAACACCATCTAAGTGCTGGAGCAGGGTCTAATTTTAGCATAGGTGCAAACGAAATGCAGAAGACTTCTAGCAAGAACGTAATCAAGCTAGAAACTGATATATATATTCTTCTGAGGTGGAGCTGTGTACTAGCACAATTTCTGGAATTTACTTACATGTTCATGTTTTGTTTCCCAGCTGTGTATTCCTTTTGCAGTCCCAGGAAAAATGCATTATAGGGGTTGTACAGTAGTGCACCGAGCAAAAGTGGGGCTGAAGAAAAGGAACTCACCAGACAATTCTGTGAACGTTTCGTTGGTCTGTGGCTGCATTGCCATGTAAAGCAATGAGTCCTCCGTGCGTTTTCCTTTCTTTACATTGTAGTGGTCATTCTGTTTTTGATTGCAATCTTCTTGGCGATACGAGTCTCTCGGCTGCCTGGAGTGCACACGGTCATTATTCATCGAGGAAAATCCACGGCCATGTCTCAAGCTGTCACGGTAATGGTGGTGGTTGCGTTTGTCATTATCTGAAGAGAAGCAAGTACAAACATTTACACAGTGTAGCATGCATGCAGGATAACATGCCTCAAACAGCAGCTAACCTACACGAATCACGGAGTGAGACGAGACAAATGTGCTAACTTGGGCATTCCAACGAGAGTTGCCTCCGCTTAGAATAAGCGGACTAGGGCTTCTTTTTCTGCCGAGTCGCTAACAGCATGTTTTTGTTCACTAATAGTGCGTTTGCCAATGGCTTTGTGCAGCTGAGTATTTAGGTCATACATATGTATGTTAGAAGAAGAGAAGTTAGTATTATTTATGCATGGTGTGGGGATGATATAATCCTCTGTAGTCATTTCCGCCTTGTGGCGCACACATGTCTTGTGGACATACCACATTTAAGTTTTACAGGTGCCGAGTGGTAGGTGGCGCATGACTCGTGCGGGTTCACCATTTATATCATTATGGTTAGCGCAGTAATGGCAGCAGTGCCGCCCAGTGACAAGACTAGGTAACCGCACAGAAAATGTTTGGGACTCTCTTTGGCGTGCGACAGCTAGCACAAATGAATGTCTCTCACAGTAGATCCATCGGGATAGAGTAGATCCATCTCACAGTAGATCCATCGGGAAGGCGCTGCGAGTTGTCTCCCATGGACCCCTCATGGTTAGTCGAACATTAACACCGCCTTTGCGTTACCTTGTGTTTGTTCGTTATGTCGATCGAGTGCATTAGAATATTGTATATTTTTTTCACAAGTCACTAGTAACGTATTCCATTCAGCTGGCGATATCTTTAATTGTAAATGCCGCTAAGAAAAGTAGACATGTTTGGTTTGCCCAATCACGTCTGCTGTGCCATTCGTTCCCAGAGCGTGGTGCATCGCAAAGGGCCCACAATGGTAAACGCACATTCAGCTGGACGAAGCCTACCCCGGAGACAATGTTAAGTAAATATGTACATTCGTTTATGGTTGCATATATAACTCCTTTAGAAGTTAATTAAAGTGATTTTTCAACTCTCTCTCGTGCTTGAGCATCATGTTTTACCATAATAATTGTGTTTTCAATAATGTCAAAATTCATTGAATTTCCACTTTATTTGGGCTTCTTTAGTGATGATTACTTGCTTGTTAGCTCGGTAGGATCGGGCAACACTGATTCAACTCTTGCATCAAGTAAAAAAATTTCATAGTCGATGCTTGCTACACAGACCGTAGTAATGACGTGAGGAAAGTCGGTTATACCTGGAGTCTATCATATCTAACACTATGGTCGTGGTGTATGGTGATACAACGGAGCTTCACATATGCTGCCATCCAACTCAAAGGCAAAACATGAAAAGTATCAAAATTATAACCAATCATAAATATTACAAAAGAAAGGTTTCAGAGATGACTGCACAACCATGACACGCGATGCATATCTGTCTGCTGTTTTACAGAAGATGGTGGCCCGAATATTGCAGTTTTTTTTCCCTGCTATAGTATACAGTTGAATTCCTTCATAAGAGGCATGCACCAAAAAGAAATTATTGTCTTTTATATGAGATGCCTCTAATAAGCAGGGTACCACATATGCATTTTCTGACCACCACCTGTTTCAATGTAGGCACATTAGTGTCCCTTATACCAGTTTGTCTCTCACATCAGTGTCTCTTTTAGAGGAATTCAACTGTATAAATATGCACACCGGTAGCACAAAGATCTAGCACAACAGAAGAGAGAACAAGTGCTTGCTCCTGTTGATGACAAATGCGACCAATGGCTCACTTTTCAGACAAAATAGTGGTCGGAAAAATACCTCGAAATCATGATTTTCATATAGTTTTTAATAGTGACTGCTATTTGATTCACTTTGCACTGAAATATGACTATTTGAAACATTCAAACCTTTGGAAGATTGTAAATAAAGCCAACATTCAAATTTTGGAAATCCCTAGAGACCACGAAATCGTACGAAAAATTAGGCAGTCAGAAAAACTATTTCATGCATTTTTTGTTACACTGCTGAAACAGTGAAATTGCCACAACAACATCCGAAGTTGTTGTAGTGCCTTTCATTAGACTTATCAGGCATTTTGAGGCGCGCCCAGGCTGTTGTGACTACACTCAGTACCAGCCACGAACTGCGCTTAACAGCATGTCACCCACCAATTGCAAATTTGTGTCTCGTGACGAGTGCCAATGATATCATCAAACCATTAAGTAGAATATGGCTCTCCCGCATGGAGCATTCGGAAAACATGGCGCAGAACAGAAAAAGACTGGCAGAACAGCGTACGATCCATCCGACTTTCTCAATATGTGTGCGCACATAAACGCTGTGCGTGCCCCTCACCGAATAATGTCCAGCGACTCGCACAATTTGCTGCTGTGTAAAGCGGAGTGTTCCTAGTGGGGTGCAGCACATTAGCAATGAAACTGATGCCATCAGAATAGGGACGCTTGCTGTACCAAGTGCACGCATTTGTCATGAAAGTGATTGTGATGCTCACTCCGTTACTGATTGCACACACATGTGACGATGGCAAGCTGCTTAGATACATACATCATACGTCACGAAGGATGGTCAGTGATCAAGTTGTAGTGGCACGTTTGCCGCCTACTGCTATCACACTTTTGTGCATTTCCTGTGCTTATCCGTAACGACATCACTGCACAGTGACTGGGGCCCCTTTAGATTCTGAGTCTGCTTCACCCCACGACACGTTAGCATTGTAGCAAAGATGCCTTTAGATCTCTACTACGCCCGCAAACAATCTTGCCAAAGTGGTGGTTCGAATCAACAAGATGATACTAGACGTGGCAGATGTGGAGCTTCAATTAATACTGTTTAGGACCTGCAATTTGAGCAGAAAGTCCCAAAAAAACAGGGGATGAAGAGTTGGAGTGTCTGAAGTTTATGGCGTTCTTATAGATGGACATCTACAGAGCAGATTAGAAAATCTGGACTCAAAGGGAGCGCCCTGTCCTCCACATCAGCGGGAACACCACAAAAGCTGAAAGAGGGGGGAGAGATTGAGGAAATAAGGTCTTTTTCTTGCACACATAAAATGTTGTTGACACGACATTGGCTCTACCAAATCATGCAAATAAACACAAATCGACTTCTACATCTCTTATTTTTGATGAAACAACTGGGGAACAATGCCCATACAGTGCTTCATGACCTAGCCAAAAAAAAATGGTTTCATGTTGCGCTCATAAGAGCATGCTTAGAGATACCCAGAAACTTTTCCTTTTGTGTAACTTGACTTCGAAGCATTAAAAAATTCTTTGACAAATATTAGACGGCTATTGAAAAAATATTTGACTCCACTTGCACCCATGCTTTATTATTCGACCTCACTTCACACCCATAATTTTGCTGTTAGCGCAGCTCTGCCCACAACATGTGGTGGCAACTGTCAAGATTGTAGCCTGAAAGAGAGCTGCAATAAAAATCATGTTCAACTTGAATCATGAATACAGTAACCATAGAGTGCACGCGGTGCAGCTTAACCCCATTATCGCTCAGATAACAAAGTGCATGCTGTACACGTGACAAAGCTATAGGGAACATCACATGATGAGTGATGTGAACTTGATGAAAGCAAAAATGACGTCACCCATTAAGATAGCAGTTTGAGAATTGAAATGTATTAAAACTCAATTCCTGATGATGACGAGGTCTAGTTACCTCACTAAAAAAAGTACACTGCTGGCTACGATATCATAAATAAGGTTGGCTTTCTTCTACTGCAAGGCATCACATTAAGTTTGTGGTTTCTTCATTTGTTTATTTTTTCTTGAATGTAGAGAAAGACACCTTTCCTTTTACAATAGGCTAATCTAACCGTGAGTTGTACAACGCCACCGTTGCCACAGTGCGTGCCGGTACTTGGAGTACTCGGTACGTTCGACTGATCGGCAAGCTGCCTCAACAAGCTCTAGCAGCCGTATTCGGATGAATCGCGATGGTTGGGTTCAGGTGCTGCATGCTGGGATGCTTAAGAGAAGCCTGGAGCATAAGGAATCGGACATTTCATGTGTTCTCAAAAGATATCACACTCGACCATTAATGAAGTTCAATGGAACGGCAAATACTATACTCTTCTGATATGTAGTTCAAAGCGTTAGCGAGTGCAGTGTGTATTAAAGAACGCCTGGTAGTTTAGTAGTGCTTGAAATACAGCAATAATGCATCATAACAAGCTTTCTGCATGACTGATGGGCCGATCAGCGACAGCAAAATTTCATGCAGCATGTGCTCAGGGTCCATACAGGTTTCCAAAGGGAAAATTCAAGGATATTCAAGGACTTTCCAGGACCTGTTGCAACTTTTTCAAGGACTCAAAGCAGCATGCTAAGTTGGAATTCAATCTTCTAAAATTTTCAAAAATGGCCAATTTCATTGCACTTATAATATATGAATATCACAATTATTTAAAAAAAGCATAGTCTTGATAACTTCTCGCACCCTCTTCATAGGTAGTGGGCACGATGCCATGTCAGAAAGTTACGTGCTGATGGGCTTCTACGCGCATGTGTAGTCAGGCCTTAAAGGGGTCATTACACAATATTTGTGGCTTGCCTGTTCTTTACTGCAAGCTTTAATTATAGCGCGAATAAGTATGATACACGTACCAAGATTCATTGATTCTCGCTACTATAGAGTTTGTCGCCTGTTTGATATGGTGACAATTTTAAGTTCCTGTTTTTGGGGACCGAGTTGTGCAAGTACATAGCAGTGTAGCTAACTTAGTCACATGATCACTTTGCACGCGTCATGCTGAGTATTGTCAGCTCTCTCACACATGTACAACGCAAGCACCTGAAAAACAAACTAGCCACAACCTGCAGCAGCCAGGATGCTTTGCCGGTATGTACGGGGCAGAAGTACGTAAGTCACTCATCTGACTACAGATCTGGTGTGACGTCACTAGAACCTTTGTTGCCCTTCCAGTAGAGTAACGTCAGTGTTGGACGCGCTCGCTATGGGCCTCGATTAGGAGAATGAGCATTTAGGTACATTTGGGAAGTAAC